ACTCTGGTCTTCGCCACCGTCAAACCGGGGATCGCTATAAAACAAAATTATCAACTGTACGAAAAGTGCTGCTATGATTCACTCCTTACCGAAAGAGTCGTCTTCCATTTCAGCTTCAGAAGTGGCTTCTTTTATGGGCGTTGGATCGACGATCATTGGCGTAGATGTGGCAATCGGCGATGGGTGGCCATTTTCTCGAGCAGCAGCCGCTGCTGCTTGCTGTTCTTCTTCTCGCTTTCTTCTTTGTGCACAACGCTTCCACAGCCACCAACGCGCTCGCCATAATCTCATCGTCATCATCGGAGTCAAATCCTCGCATTTCTGCTTGGCGCTTCTCTTGCTCCTCCAGCCTATGTAACTACTGCATTAGGTCACCATTCTCTTGCACAAATAAGATCCTATTCCCACCTTCGCCGAGCCTCCTCTTTGTCCTTTTGCATTTTCTTCTTCTTATATGCTTCCAGCTCAGCTCCTTCCAACCGGACTCTTTTCTTTACTTCCAGCGCGACAATTCGATTCGTTCTTGCATTCGTCGCCAAACACTCGGCCATATAGATCAGTTTCGAGCAGAGGGTTCGCTCACTTGATCGACCTAATCATGAAGTCATTTACGCAGGAAAAAAGCCAATCATGCCAACGATGGGACAACCTTTCTACGGGCTTGTTCGTAGCGGACGCTGGGGCCTGTCATGGAGAGGGGTGGGTTTGACGGGGCGCCAGCCCATTCTCCACCAATTGATGTCGCCTGCCAGCTTTCCACAAGCTGTGGACAACGGGCTGGCGTCACAGCAAACTTAGCCCCCCTGACACGCCCGCAGCAGCGAACAAGATTGTGATCCTACCTGTGATAATAAACGAATTTCTGCTGTTCAGGTACACCAGTCGAGGAAATAGTTCTCGAGAATAGCCGCACTCCATATCAATGCCGCTACATAGCACAACCTAAAATCGTACTTTGAAATAAGGATAGAATTGTCGATGTCGAGCAACCGCTGTTAGGGATACGCCGTGCATTCGCAAGTGCAAATTTCAGAGGCGATACATTACCGTCTTGTAACGCGGATTTCGGCGCTATGGAACGACTTGTGGCCAGCTATATGGGCCACTGTTTTTGCCCTCATAGTAAAGTATGATAATAAATAACCACCCCACGAAAACTGGAAGCTTAAGCCTTCGGGGGTGCTGATATGAGATTTATACTCTCCGCACGCATGGCACGTAGAAGCGGGGGCCACTTGTCACTACATCACCTTCGCGAGCAATCGTATTGTTTAACACGTTCCGGACCGCGTGACACACATGGTGTGTCATAAATTTGTCTCAGTGCGGTGTTTTATTTAATCAGTTTGGGCTCCTTTCGAGTGTTAGAGGGTGTGAAAGACATTTTAGGTTAGAATATATTCTTACCAAAGATTCAAAAAAAGAGAGGAAATTGCTGATGAATACCTTATAAGAAATGATAAAATAGTCCGGAGTTGCGCGCAGTGCGGCGGTCCACAATGTGTTAAAAAGTGAAACGTATGTGCGACTTTTCCATGCGAAAAAGGAGACGGTTCGAGACAAGAAAATGAAGGTTAGCAGGAGAATATCTGGAGACTTTCAGGAACAACAGGAGGTATAATTCCTGCTTTTTGTACAACTTTTCCGGTCTCAGCGGTCTCGTAGTACAATTCTACACGTAAAAATGGAAGTAGTGTTGAAGTTCAAGCACCCCTAAGGCTGCGTTCATACTTTGGCGACTTCCGACGTTCTGGCGAATCATCGTTCGCAGCACAAAGAGGATAGCATAGGGTCGATCGGCCGTCTTGGTGCGCTGGAGTTTCGGGAAATTCACGATTTCGGAGGCAAGTGCTAGCTTTGTAGGGGCAGACATCGGTATTTTTGAGCGCCGATGCGAGCACCGTATAGCTATTATTTTCGCTCACCAGCACCAATTCCTCAAAACGCTAATCCTCCAGAAGCGTCAAGTCGGGGCAACGTGTGAACGCTGCCGAGAACAAGCCCCACTCGGGCGCACTCGAAATTCCAGCATTCTGCAAAGTCGACATTCTACATAACTATAAGCACGGAATCCTCCTAAAGAGGTCAAGATAGGGGGGAGCCAATAAGGAAGCTACTCACGAATCTCACACAGTTTCCCTGCTCCTTTCTTCTTATTCAACCTTCCTTGCGAATCCATCACCACACCATAGCTATGCCGTCACGGGCTTATGAGCTTGAAGGCACATTCCGCGATAATCGGATGGGCGGAGACTCATATCCATTGCGTCTTCAACTTTAGTGTGCCACCCCTTCAATCCCCCAAAGAAGAAGGGTGCACCAACGCAGAAGGCATAAGGGTTCTAGTCGCCCTTACGACCAGCGTGGACAACGCCATGCCCTCAACCCTGAGCCTTTGGACGTGTAGCAGAACGAGAATTAACAAACCTTCGGTGAACGAACTCTAGCCAGGTCGATCTGAGAATGACACAGTTTTACGTTTCGGAGTAGAAATGGATTTGTGTGGCCCATCTCGAAGCTTCTGAAATTTCGGTAATTCCAATAAGAAAGTAGTGATACAGGAAAAACGCATGAAATGAAATATTATAAGTATCAGGAAGTAGACGTGAAGTTCTAAAAAAAATCAATCCAAAACGCTTTGAATGAACACTGCTCTATAAATTGTTTCCAAGAAATTGAGCGGAATCCGCTATTCTGAAGGGTTTTGAGAGTTCCAAGAAAACTCACTTCAACACCTTGTCTGACATCCATTCCACTTGAGATTTTGCGAATTCAACTACGGAAGCGGCTACATGACTCATCATTACTAGATTGTACTTTTGCAAACCGGACTGGGTACTGAAAAACGACTTCACATGGCTTCGTAGTACTTCGCAACGATTAAAATCATAACTAACTTTGCCCATAGCTGATCCAGCAGGTGAGCAATCTCAAGTACACGACCTCCCGTGTCTATAACAATTGCACAGTCCCCATTCTGACGGACCGTCCTGTAAAGAGATGTTTCAGTTGAGCAAAATAAAGTATTCTTATCGATCCAGAAAAGGGAAACCGAAAAAGCTCGCTAAAGAAAACTTGTGAGTTCAGAAAACTTACTTCAGAATCGTCGTAACTAGTTGTTCGTCTCGCTCCTTTCGTCTAGGCTGGGTGTATAGAGCATTAAGGGAGTCCGTGATCAGCAGATATGGTCTCAAAATGGCTGGAAAATTAAAAGGTAGAATATTTGTGGTGCTGTTCGGCCTAGGGGAGGGAAGAGAATTGCACTTTGCTTCAATACAGTTAGCTGAACTCACTATCAAATGAACATCCGTTCAAATGCCGTTCTTTCTTATGATTATAGTCCACTGCATAAATAATATCCTCTTCATCATGTCGAGTAATTCGCCACATAGCACCTCCTATCATATGTCCAGCAGGTAGTGCAGTGATTTTAATCTGGCTATCACCTCGGAGTGGAACCTACGAAAAACTCAATCATAAGTGTTACATGAAAAAGGAAGAAAGAAGAAGAGAAGAAGAGTGAAGAAAAAAAGAGCGAAAACGGTAAGCGAGAGACGGGGAAAAAGGAAAGAAACCCGACAAGGGAGATATATGCTTGCGACGCACACGAAACTGAAAAAGCAGATCATGGACGCCAGAGCGTCAAGCGAAAGTAAGAAAGTCGGAAAGTAATAGAGTATGTAGACAGTAATAAGATCATGGAGAGATGAAGAAAAAAATAAGAAGGAAACAGTGGAAAGTAGAAAAATTCATTAATCTTCGAAAAGAATTCGAAGGTGCTTTGTGGTCCTGGGAAGAATTAAGAATGTGAAAACAGCAGAAAATTAGAATGGGAAGATCGGGACAAGTTCTAAGACCCAAGTTACGACGATCCCACGATCTAACTAGTAGATGTTCTGGCCAGTCGACTCGACATACTGTAAGGCAGCGTCCAGACTTCGCGACGGCACCGCTTCGGTCGCGCGTTTGACGCCATCGATGCGCATGCTTTGCACTCGCGTCGAACGCGCGACCGAAGCGCTGCCGTCGCGAAGTCTGAGTGCTGCCTAAGACATGTCCAGGCTCTGCTTAGAATACCGCACAGGGCACGTCGTACGATCGTGATCCACAGCGAGAGGAGGGGGTTCGTATTTGCCTTCGAAAAAAATGTTTGCTTGTTGACTTTTCCACAACGTTTCCCGTTCGTGTACGCGCTTATCACCCCTCCCCCTCCCACCTCCGCCCAAATTCAGGAAGATAATGGGAAGGATGAGGGGTGGTGAAGGGGGTCGTATCAGAGGAGGAAATTTTGAGAGGGAGCGTTAGATAAGAAAGAAAAGAAGAGGAAGGAGAATACAAATAAAGATAAGATTGCTTAAATTTTCAATTATTCCTTTGAATGCGACTTACCGCCAGCAAAGAACAAGTTCACTCTCTGTAGGTAAGCAGCCAACTAAAGAAAAAAAGGGAAAAAGAGAAAAAAGAAAAAGAAAAAAAAACAATGAGTTGAGAAATAGAAGCTCACTGTTTGGTTGAATTTCAACTTCTGTATTCGATCAAATGCCACATCCACATCATCCAGGGTGAATAGCTCGAAATTCTCGACGCTTATAAGACTGTTTATCCAGTCGTACATGAACATCATACCCATTTTATACACTGGAACCTAAAAAGACTAACTGATAAAAAAATGTAAACCAAAATTCTTCCCTATGAAATCAAGGAAGAGAATCAAAAGGAGTGGTATATGGGCCATGACAATGTTTTTTTAGACCGATACACGGCGCTGTTCGGCTTGAAGCGTTTTGCACTCTCGCTAGTTCCTTTTGTCACTCACGCTAAAGAGCAGGTCCAATTCTGGTGAAACTGTTAACACCTGCGAAGCTGCGCATAATTAGAAGAAGCCGCTTTGGTTACAGGAGCATACAGCTTTTCGCAAGATGGTCAGAGCAGGCTACGCTGAGTAGGACTCAGTGTCGCCATCAAGCCGAACTGCGCCGATACACCACTGCACTGGCCAAGCTTAAGTTGCGGATGACCATAGTGGTGCAAAGGGTGGTAAACTAACTGGGAAAATATAGCTTAACACGTTTTAGGACGAGTGGAGTCCTATAATTCAACTCGAACTAAATGTACTTCTGTCAAAGGTTACTAAATGGCGACCTTCCGACGCTTGAAGCTGACTTGGAGCTTTTAATTTATTACAGTCCCGAACAGCCCAACAACGCCAGGCCAATAAAGGTTCCATCTAACAGCCTCGCTTGGCAGAAGTAGAAATAAGTCAATTTACGCCGAACTTACGATAATGGACACTAGAGTGATCATAAGGAAGCTTAAAATGTTGCTTTACAAAGAAAAAAAGGCCTAACCGTGCAATAAATCGGTGCCGTTAAATCACAATATTTCACGAGATACGCTAATGCGCCTAAATGTGGCTGATCGGGATGTGTGATAAGCACAGCAGAGATCTGAAAAGTTCAAGTTTGTACTACAAATTCGAGAAAAAAAAACTCGAAATTCCGTAAATCCATAACGGTGCATCCATGCTTTGCGAAACTGAAGAATAGGAAAATGCGGGC